GTTTTTTGACGATTTGCAATTTATATTTCATTTCATTAGCGTAGGAGGATTTGAGAATTTGTTAATTGACATGTGTTAGGTAACCTACTGTCATGCATATGTGAAAATTTGTGTTCTTTAAGTAAATATGAAGCATGTTTGATATTGTTTCTGAGAACGCTCATAACCCAAAATGACCTGTAACTCGACCCAAAACCGAATGAGTTGGGTCAATATTTGACCCGAAATAAGCCAACCAAACATGACCCGACCCGTAACCAAAGTTCTCAACCGAAATTACCCAACCTGACCCGATTGCCAGGTCTAGAATTATTATATCTTAAACATGACAGATCAAACCTTTGTTCATCCTATCAAACTCGTCTATACGCTTATCTTCAATCTGTTAGAACCATGGCTCCCCCTTCAAGGTATGAGTCACCACCTTGTTCACTAATCCTAATACGCTTTTGCTTACATTAAATATTCTCAAGCTAGGAGAACACATTACCTTTTCCATTAAGCTTTAATAATCCAAAAAATATCCAAGTTTGATCGATTATTACTCCATTTTGTAATTACCAATAACGATGAAAATCACGGACACTATGATTTGATAGATGATGGATAGTAAAAACGTGCTCACCAGCTATCATATCAATAAGTCGTACCGGTTAAAATATGTGAAGAAAAGAGAAAGAGATGGTGTAGAAGGCAACTTACATGTCTAAGCATCTGGTTCTCATTCTGCAAAGCGGAGAGGCTCTTTTCGAGCTTCGAGTTCTTCTTCTCCAAGTCTTTAACCCTCGTCTCCAGCTCACTAAGATTAGCTTTCTTCCTCTCGCTGGCTTGCTGCGCAGATAGTCTGTTCCACAACAACCTGCAAAAATTTCCCCTAGTGAAGAAAAGGTCATCCTCACCATTATCCATTATCAGATAAGGCTCCATTATGTAAAACCCCCCAAGAAACAACTCAAACAAATTTCCCTACAATACCATTTGTGTTGCTTGTTCTCTTTATTCCTGGGCTTCTCTCTCGCTTCCTCGTCCCTTCTCCCGAAACCTTGATGAGATCGCTTCTGCCCGGATACCACCGCCAGTCTCCGAACTTACCAGGACGCAATTGCCGACACTCTCCTAATCTCCTCGTCACTCTACTTTCCAGCCCAAAATCCAGAACCCAAGAACTCAAAACAAATTTAAAACCTTAAATGAAAAAATCTCTAAAAATGACACCAAAATCATGGAACAAACAGAAAAATCCCCACTCTTTTGTTGGTTTTGCTCTCCTCCTCCTTTCTTTTTCTTCTTCTTCTAATCTTGAATGAAATTCCCCCCCCCCCCCCCCCCCCCCCCTCTCTTCGCTTAGCAACATAGAGAAGCTGGGTGAGAATAGGGGAGAGATAAAAAGAAAAACAAAATAAAACTAATAAAAATTATTGAAAAGCTAGGGAATATGGACAAACAAACGTGAGTAGAGAAGGAATGGAGAAAGCAAATTAATGTATCAGAATATATTAAATAGGCCTAATAGAGATTAGAGAAGATTTGAAAGGAATGAATTTTTTGGGGGCAAACGCATTGACGTGAGCACTTTCTCCACATATCATTTCCTCTTCTTCTAGGAATTATAAATGCCAGGCGGAAAAGGAAGGGCAAAAAGAGAGAAAGAAGAAATGAATAAAATAAATAAATTAGAAAGAGAAATCCCACTTTTAAGTATATAATAGGGTAAAATATCTTAGTTGCCACTTAAGTTTGAGAATTGGGGTAGACATACCACTTAAGTTTGAATAAGGCATCGGGTACCACTAAACTCTATTATATGTGCACCCGGTACCACTTAAGTTTACAGCTAAGTGCATTTCGTTAAAGTTGACAGAATATTCTTGGAATATTCCATTTTCTTAATTTCATAATTGGTCCTTCTACTTTTTTATTGTAAAAAATTCATTTGGACTTATGAAAAACATCATTTTTTAGTGTTTAGTTATAATCCTCTTTTGAATACTTGATACCAAACCAATTTCTGAATAGAAAATTTTGAATCAATTATCATTATAATTATTTTCAATTATCATTGTGTGTTATAATAATTCAATTATTCCATGAATGTTGTAACTAAACAATGTTGTAGCTTTTATAGTCATATTTTCTTTTCTACATTTTTTACTGAATGAAGTAGCTTTTATATTTTATTTATTATTTTGTTACTTTCCATCTCTTTTTGTTCTAAATATTTTCAATTAGTGGATATATTTAATTCTTTCTCATTGTGTTCCATTTATCATTTTTTTTATTTTGATATATTTATGATCGATTAGGTTCTATTTTAACTATTTCTAATGGTGCTTCTAATTGAATTAGGGGGTTTATATGGATATTCTAATATTTATTTTAAATATTTATTCTTCTTCTTGATATTCGTTTATTATTATTATTTTTACTAATTTATCTATTTTATTGAAATTTTTGATTAGTCATTATAGTAATAATATGTTTAGAAGATTTTCTAATTATTATATTAGATAAAACTTGTTGAAATATAGTTTTGGATGTTTTTAAAAGTTTTGGGTATCAAAAAGTAATTAAAATTCGGGTTGGATGGAAAAGTAAACAGATGCACATTTTGACAACTTTAATGGTACCCGACGCCCTATTCAAACTTAAATGGTATGTTTACCCCAATTCTCAAACTTAAGTGGTACCCGAGGTATTTTGCCCTATATAATACTAGGGGTGGATGTTTGGGTTGATGGTTGTGGATAATCCGCAAACTGCACCAACCCGCACTTATTGTGGGTAACCATATCCACAAGTTGTGGGTAGTGGGTTGGGTGTGGTTAGTAAAATAACGATTTTTGTGGTTAGTGGTTATCCACTACCCACCGCGGTTAACCCACAAAATCCACAATAACCACACTAATTATATTTATTTAGTGAATTAACTTTATAATATAATAGTATGTGAAAAGTGCGAGGATAAAAAATAAAGTAGCCACCAAATAAAAAATACACACCTAATCAGTTTTATGTAAGAATTTTTTAGTTTATAAAACACTATAATTGATAGAGTGGAGAATAATCAATTCATTAAAAGTCAACACTTTTTGTAACTTTTATTAGTATGTTTTTGCTTTTGGGTGAAAAAAATACAAGATCATATTTCATTGTCATATTTCACCCCTAGTCGGGGAAATATGAAATCACAGCTCTCTAACACAAAAGTTAAATATCAAACTCAAAAAGAAAAAATCTCCACGTTGAGTGAGATCAATGTACAAAATTGTATCTCCACGAACAACACAAGTGTATACCACTATAGTCTAATTACGAATAACAAATACGTTAGTGACGACTAGAACTCTTTGCTTGCAAAATATGGATTTTTGCGGGTAACCACACCCAACCCGCACAAACCCACAGTGGGTAATGGTTACCCATTAACCACTGCGGTGCGGGTTGTGGTAGCATAATTGTAAATTTGTGGGTGTGGGTACTCGCAAAATGTGGGGCGGGTAACCACACCCACCCCAATTTCCACCCCTATATAAGAACATCTCCAACAACCAACCTAAAAAGTTAAAAATTCTAAAATACTTCCTCCAATAACAATTAGGAAAAGTCGAAAAGCTAAAAAAGCCACACATTTCGGCCAAAACCTCATTGGGAAACGATAAAGAAAGCTAAATGTGGGTTGGGAGCCGGCCCCACACTTTTTCCCACTTAATGACCGTTGCAAATTAAAATAAGAAAGAAAAAAATATATTTCAGTCACTCAATTAATTACCAACGACTCCATTAACTCCCAACAACTCTTTTTCACAGATTTCTCTATAAATACCACATGGTTCTTCACTTCTACCTCATATCTTCCAATTTCTTCTCTCATTCTCATCAAAGATCAATTATATCGTCTTCCTAACAAATTAAAAATTCTCTTACTCCCAAATTTCTGATCATGTCTCAACCTAATCGCCCACCAAATTGGAAAGAATATGAAAATGAGGTTTTGTGCAAGGCTTGGGTTAAAATTTTGGAGGATGATTCTATCGGCCATTATCAATCTGGGCCTTAGTTTTGGAGGCGAGTTGGCAAAACTCCATCTGGCAAACATGTGAAGTGTCTATGGTCAATTTGAACAAAAATTTGTGATTTCGTCATTAATGACATCATATTTAACAAGATTTTTTTTCAAAATTACCAAAATTCAAAACCAAAGTTCTCTCTTCTCTCTCTTCTCTTTGATCGTTCTCTCTGATCGTTCGAGGTTCGGCCTTTGATTCAAAATGGCGACCGTCACCGGCGGAGCCTCCTCAGGTGTCGTCGGTGACGGGCGCACTTGGGCGTCGCCCTTCTCGTTTAATCCAGATCTCAAGCTGGATTATTACGAACCGGAGTTTGTCAATGGATCACTGCGGATTCCCAAATCGGTTCTCGAAGAGGGATCTAAGCGATGGGTTCACTGCTTAGTCGGCCAGTTTCTTGATCAGCCAGCGTCTCTCTCTTCCATTCACTTTTGGGCGAACTGGATCTGGGGGCAAGATGGAGCTGTTCGTGTCTCGTGGCTGGGGGAGCGGCTGGTCCTTTTTTAGTTGCCGACTGCGGAAGTTTGTCGTTGGGTTTTTGAAGGAGGACCGTGGCATCATCGTGAGAATATGTTGTTTCTGTATAAATGGGAACCAGGTATTCAACCTCTTGCCATTGATAATTCGGTAGTTCCTGTTTGGGTTAGGCTATCGAACTTACCGTCTGAGATGGTGTCAAAGGAAGGATTAGGGCGGATTGCTAGTTCTCTGGGTCGTCCTCTTTGTATGGATTTCCCTACGAAGCAAGGGAAGCGGTTGGGGGTTGCGAAGCTGTGTGTTGAAATTTCAGTAAAATCTAACTTGGTGAATACGTTGAGCATTACTCCTGATGATTGTCCAGAGATGTTTGTTGATGTAGAGTACTGTCATGTCCCAAGCAAATGTGAGAAGTGTCAAGTATTTGGACATGACTGCTCTAATTTTAGAGGGAAGATGAAGAAGGTCTGGGTTGTGAAACAGCCTAGAGTAAAGGAACTTGATCCTGTTGGGTTGAAGGATAAGGGGAAGGGTGTGATGGAAGAGCCACAAAGGGAAGTAACTCAGAAAATGGTCGCTGGGGCGAATATGCTGGTTGATAGTTCTATTACTTCTCCTAATCCAGTGCAGGATAGGGGTGCAGGGCCCTCTGCAGTTGATGATGGGTTCCAAGTGGTTACGCACAGGAAGAATAGAGTGAGAGCTCCTGTCTCGGGATCTGTATCTAGAAGTCCATGGAGTTTGTCTGCTGGGTCGGGTAAAAGTCCACTTGATGATCAGGCATTCCCTTCGCTAAGTTGATCTGTTTTGAAGCATCCTGTGGAACCTCCACCTGTTTCTCCTGCTCGGGGTAAGGGTAGGGGGAAGAAGCGGAGTAAATGAAGGTATTATGTTGGAACATCAGGGGGTTTAATGCCCCTGACAAGCACACTGCCGTGCTTAAGAAGTTTTGGTATTTGAAGTTAGATATAGTAGCACTAATAGAAACTAGAGTTATTTCCTCTGATAGTTCTGATATTCTTTCCAAGAAGTTTAGTCAGTTTAAGCATTTGAATAACTACCCTAAGTCTACTAATGGGCGTGTCTGGTTGCTCTGGAAAGATGGCCTAGATGTGGTTAAGGTTGATGATGGGCAGCATTTCATTAAGGTCAGAGTTGGAGGACCTCATCCTTTCCTCCTTTTAGTGGTTTACAGCCCAAACAAAGAAGCTGATAGGGCTGTGTTGTATAAGGAGCTCTTACTTCAGCAAGAGGTTAATTCTCCTATGGTCATTATGGGTGATTTAATGTTGTTATTGACCCGGGGGAGACTTCTAATCTCATGGTTATGAACTCGAGTATGACTTCCTTTAAGTCCTGGATTGCTAATATGAATGTGATTGATCACAAGGTTATGGGGACCTGGTTTACTTGGTGGAACAAGCAGGAGGAGAATCCCATTGCAAAAAGATTGGATAGAATTCTTGTAAATGAAGCTTGGTTGTCTGTTTTTAAAGCTAGTTCTGCTATTACTACTCCACCAGGGGTCTCGGATCACAGTGGACTATTGCTGACAGTAATTCCCCAGGTGAAGAGCTTTCCCAAACCATTTAAATATTTCATGTTTTGGACTAGTCATCCTGGTTATAATGAGTAGTATCTGATGCTTGGAGGCATAAGGTGACTGGCTGGCCATATTTTGTATTCTATGGTAAGCTGCAGAGGGTTCGTCAATCTCTTACTAAACTGAATAAGGAAGTCTATGCTAATATATCTATTCAGACTCGTGCTAGTGAGAGTAGGCTAGAGGCTGTGCAGTTGTCTATACTGGTCAATCCAGAGGCTGCTCTGGTGGGGGAAGAGAAGGAGCTTTCTGTTAAGTGTCATGATTTACAAAAAGCTGAAGATAGCTTTTACAAGCAAAAAGCTCGCACCAGGGGAGTGCAGGAAGGTGGTATGAATACTGCATTCTTCCACAGTTCTGTGAAGATTCACTCTCACCGCCAACAGATAACTCGCCTGTTAAATGCTCAAGGACAGGAGGTGACTGACATTAAGCATTTGGGGCAGGTTGCAGTTGATTTCTATAAAAAGCTTATTGGGGAGGTTGATCCTGCAGTGTTTACTCATCCATCTAGCTTCTATGAGGCATTGGCTATTAAGTCTCTTAATCAGGAGGAAGCTAGGTCATTAATAACTCCAATATCCAGAGAAGAAGTTCGTCAGGTGTTTAAGAGTCTTGGGCGAGATAAGGCTCCAGGCCTTGATGGGTTTCCTGCAAATTTCTTTAAACTGCACTCGGATTTGGTTGGTAACTTAGTTGAAGAAGTTGCGTTGGATTTCTTTTCTTCTGGCATTATGCCACAGGCTCTAAATTCCACCCTCTTTACACTAGTGGCAAAGATCCCAACTGCTGAAAGGATGAAAGATTTCCGCCCTATTTCCTGCTGTAACACGATATATAAGGGGATCTCGAAGGTTTTGGCAAACAGGTTAGCTACTGTTCTGCCATATCTTATCTCTACATCTCAGTCTACTTTTATTAGAGGTAGATCCATTAGTGATAATATCCTATTGGCATCAGAGTTAGTAAAAGTCTATCATTAGGAATAGAATTTTCCCTCGGTGTGCTGTGAAAATTGGTATTAGTAAAAGCGTTTGACTCCGTGGACTGGAACTTCTTATTTTCTGTTCTTAGTCAGATGGGAATGCCTGAAATTTTTATAAAGTGGTTAAAAGCTTGTGTCTGTACTCCTAAAGTGAGTGTAGTGATGAATGGTGGAGTTTGTGGGTTTCTTGAGATGAAAAAGGGGCTGAGGCAAGGAGACCCCCTGTCTCTATATTTGTTTACTATTTCCATGGAAGTGTTGGATGCCATGTTGAAATTAGCAGTTAGGCAGAACCAAATCCCCCCCCCCCCATCCTAGATGTAAACCGTTGGCAATTACACACCTGTGTTTTGCTGATGATTTATTGGTTTTCACGAATGGTTCTATAAGAGGGGTGTCAGGGGTTTGTCGGGTACTAGATGCTTTCTATAAAGTTTCTGGCCTTAAATGCAATCCAGATAAATGTCAGTTGTTTTGTGGGGGAATCTCGGAGTCTGAACAGCAAAATATTTCATCATATTCGAAGTTTCCCCTTGGTACCTTGCCTGTCAGGTATTTGGGAGTTCCTCTTATTACTGGTAAACTATCTCGAGCAGACTGTCATGTTTTGGTAGAGAAAATCACAGCTAAGATTTCAAGCTGGAGGGCAAGAACTTTGAGCTTTGCTGGGAGGTTACAGTTTATCACATCTGTTCTGACTAGTGTTTTGCAGTATTGGATGGGAATTTTTCTTCTCCCTCAGTTTGTCATTAAGGAAGTTGAATCCATTTGCAGTAAGTATTTATGGGACATAAATGAATCATCAATGAGGAAGAGGGTTGTTGTTTCCTGGGAGTTCCCTGCTCGGCCTAAGAAGGAGGGGGGCTTAGGGATTCGTGGGTTTGCAATCTGGATTAAAGCTTGTGTGCTTAGACATTTTTAGGCAGTCCTTGTTGAGCAGGGATCCCTTTGGGTAGCTTGGATTCATCGCTATCGTGTCAAGAAGAATTCAGTCTAGGACCTTAAGTCTTCTTCTACGTCTTCCTGGATATGGAGGAGAATTCTAAAGTGTCGAGATATGGCTAGGCTTTTATCTCCTTGTTACAGGGGAGCTTGGCGTGGGATGGTGAGATCATGGAGTCATACTCTGACAGGAGGGTCTGGCAATTGCTTCGCCAGAAGAGCAGTGTTGTGCCTTGGAAGGATTTGGTTTGGGACAATGTCGTTATCCCTCGTCATGGATTCATTCTTTGGTTAATCATCCAGGATAGGCTGAAGTTGCAGGATCGACTTATTTCCTGGGGGAAGCCTCTCTCGTGCTTGTGCTTGATGTGCCCTGGTGGGATGGAGACTTGGCATCACCTCTTTGTGGAGTGTGCATTTGCGAGATATATGCTTGAGCAGGTTTTGAAGACAGATGCGCCACCATCTTTAGTTGACTGGCCAGAAGTCCTGCACTGGTGTGTCACTCACTGATGTGGAATCTCCGCCTCTGCACGTCTTAATCGTCTATCATGGAGTGTTGTTCTAAGTTTTATTTGGAGGGAGCGATGCTCTAGAATGTATGGATCAAATAGTGCTCGTTCACCATCACAGCTGGTTGCGCAAGCAAAATGGGTTATTGAGTATAGATGTATGCTTGATCAGAGCTTATTGGACTGCTTCATTGCTAGGGGTTTGGGGTAGTTCTTCTTTTACTTGACTGATATATTGTACAGACTGTTTGTTCCGAGGAGCGCCATAGTGTTTATGCTATTGGTTGCCTGTTCTTAATGAAATTTTGATCTAAGTAAAAAAAAATTAATTAGTACTACATGTATACAAATAATCTACAAATGATCTAATTAAAGTGATGAAATCTACACTAAACTAGGCTATCACAAAACAAGAAGATTTTGCATTTTAGCATTTTGACATTGCTTATTGGAGCTAAAACCACTTTTAAAGTATCAAAATGCTAAAACCATTTGGCATTCTAGCATTTTGGCATTTCCTTGTTGGAGATGGTCTAATAATATATAATAACAATAATAATTAAGTATATAATAATAACCATTTCCATCTTTGATAAAAAAACAAAGAAGGGAAGGAGAGAACCAAAGATAGTAGAAGGGGTCTAATAAACCTAAAAAGGGTCTACTCATTCAGATTTTGTTCCTTTACTGATTAGCTGTCTTCTTTTTGTAACAATAATAATAATAATTTCCATCTTTGATAACAAAAAAACGAAGAAGGGAGTGAGAGAGGGCTTAGGATAGGGTCAGTAACTAATAGTTACTAACCTATGAGTAACTAAATCTGGACCTTTAGATTTAAGTGGGTCCAGAAAATTCAGATCTAAGGGTTGTCAATTAAAGACATTTTATTTTCCCTAGTTTTCTTAATTGGCTCTTATCTTCTTCGTTATAACTCGGATTTCAATTTTTTTTTTGCACAGATGGAACGAGTTCGTTGTGCTCTACAAAATGAGATCAATTTTCAATATATTTCGAGAAACTTTTTTTACCAACTACATACCATATGGTAACTTCTTCGTTTTTAAGTTTTTGAAAACGTTTGCTCAGAAGGAACGAGTTCATCATGATCTATTGGATCTATAAATTTATGGGTGAAAAATATACTAGATCAAAAATTACCATACTTTACCACTATGGTATGTGATCGGTAACTTGTTGTAACTTGTAGTGTAAATTACAGTAGCTAGAACTATTAGATGAATTTCCTTCTTAATAAAAAAACAATGATGAAAGTCGTAAATGACAGTTAATATACTTCTACTATCATGTATTCAACCTTCTTACCATATTGGTATGTTCATACCATCATGGTACGCTTTCTTATCATATGGTATTAAATTGGAGCATACCATATGGTAATGGCTGGTAAAAAATTATTCAATTTTTTTGTACTAAAAATATATCAAAGTGGATATCATTTTGAATAGCATATTTAATCTGATTTATCTGTGCAAAAAAAATTAAATTTTGATTTAAAACGAGAGAGAAATCATCCGTTAAATATTAAAGGGGAAAAGATAAAAAGACTTTCCAAGAGAGAGAGACTACTGATGTCATGCTGATGTGGACAGGTTACTCATGGTTACTGACCTGATCCGCTCCCGTGAGAGAGCCAAAGAAAATAGAAGGGGTCTAATATACCTAAAAAGGGTCTACTACTTTAGATTTTGTCCCTCCAATGATTAGTTGTCTTCTTTTGTCTATGTGATATAGAGGA